GGGGGAGGCTTTTGCAGGGAAGCGTGAAGACGCCAGACATCTGCTCTCCAACCTCTGGCATCATGTATCCAGCGCAGATTATCCGCTGATTGAAGAGGACCCACTTGGAAGCCCTGACCGTAATGTTATTGTAACAGGAAGGACGCCCATTGACCCTATTAGGGAGGATGTCGGAGCAACGAAGCAAACGTGTGTTACACGCCAAGCCCGCAAAATGTCTGCATCAGAGCTAGGGTTCAACAATTCTGTCAAATAATCTAATTGTGATTTTGTTCCCCCCCCCCCCCGTTTAATTTTGCGATTTAGCGTGAAGCGTTGTCGTCGTGCACAGCACTTTCTGCATGCAAAAACATTAGCTGTGATGTTCCAAACTTGATAGTGATTAGCAAATGCTTATTCACGAAGCCATTTCAATTGAGATGGCAAAATGTCATTGTTTGTACTGATTGGCGCCAAGTATGTTCTTGGTTCAATGATAACGGCCGCCCTGTTGTATTCTCTCCCCCAATCTGTCCCAGCTTCAAATTATGGTCATAATGAAACATTCACATCTCATTGTCTGCCAGTAAAAGGGGATTCCCAGGAGATAGACTTTCTCCGGTTTGTTCCCTTCCCCTTTCCTGGCACTCCCTAATGGAGGGCTTCTTTTGACATTTCAACATGCAGTCTTTGGTCCCTTTAGATGTGGAAGGTGACGACTTGGAAGTGACTTTTGTCGGCTTGGGGGGGAGGGCAACAACTACACTGAGGTTCTCAAACTGCGGTCCAGAGACCACGAAGCCATAACTTGGGTGTCTGAAAAATAATTTATAAAACATTATGTCGCCAATATATATTTTGAAAGTGCAGACCAACACATGGGAGCTGGTCGGAAGAGTTGAGGAGGAAGCGGGCTCTTGTCGAGGCGGACGGCCTGACATTTGTGGCAGCCACACGGACGCTGAGCAAGCTTCTGTCCATCACATCCAACAAAGCACAGCGGCCTCTCCAGGAAGAGGAACAGCTTCGGCTACAGGCTGCCGTCACTTGAACCTGCTCCGCTGACATCTGACATGCTGCTTTTCAATTCCACCCTATGAGGGAAAAGTTTAAATTATTCCCTCGAGTCTGTCTGACAACATAAAACAACTTCCAAGTTTTACACACCACCAAATTGTGTTCTCAGGACCGTTTCCAACTCCCCCGTGAACAACATCCCCACTGTCTCATAAAAACGTTCTCGCAAGATATCCTGTATTAAGATCTGGATTGTTTTTCTACCCCCCAGCAGGTGCACCCAGGCTGTGTGCAGCCATTAAGCGCCACCATGCTGGCCTGCATTCAAAGACGGCAGAACCTGTCTTCGCAGTATTTGACCTGCGTGCCGACAAGCCTGGATGTCCTGACGCCACCATTGCTGCTACCTGCGCCCCCACCGTCGCAGTTACACACTAGCAAAGGTGAGTCTGAGTTGAACAGGGTTCGTCTCTTTTCGCATCTTCCAAAATGTATTGACTGTTCAGGTCAAACTTGACCCACCGTGACATTGACGGCAATTAAAAACACCCTAAATGTCATTCTTTTATCCTGAAACTTAACAACTTAAGTGACCCAAAATAAACAAAAATGTCTGAACTTCTTTTTTAACCTTAAAGTAAAAGAATTTATTTTGTGACTAAAACAGCACCCAGTGATGCCAATCACTCCTCCCCCCGCTACACAAGAATGTGAACACCTTTGTTCACATCCATGGTTATCTGGTGTAATTATTATATAGTTTCTATTTCAACCAGCTAGCTAGCTCGCAATGCCCCGAAAATGCATCTTCCTTGGAAACCAGTTTGCACAACAGCTCGGTGGCGTTATTTAAATTCCTAAGCAAAGAGGTGACACCGTGGATGACGGTGCCGACCCAAAGGAGCCCCGGAAGCCTGTTCGCTCATGAGCTAGCCCCAACTACGAACCAGTGGGATATATTCTAGCCCCTAGTGGTTTCAACTGAACATGTAGGTAGGGATGCGTAGGTTTAAGAAAGTTGCTAAACTAAGCAGAATCTATTTTTCAGCGGGCCGTGGTTTTAACGCTATTTTTTAGCTAGCTCGTAACTTAAATACAAAGCCAACTTTCGGCGAAGCAGCAGGTTGAAAAACTCCGAAATTCGGGGTCTTGTAAGTCAAGACACCACTGCACGGAGTGCAACTCCTTTTGCCGCCTCTGGTTGTGAGGCTGTACTGTCCTGTATCTTTCCGCGAATAAAAACACCCTAAACGTCATTCTTTTATCCTGAAACTTAACAATTTAAGTGACCCAAAACAAATAAAAATGTCTGAACTTCTTTTTTAACTTTTACTTTAAAGTAAAATAATTTATTTTATGACTAAAACAGCACCCAGTGATGCCAATCACTCCTCCCCCCGCTACCCAAGAATGTGAACACCTTTGTTCACATCCATGGTTATCTGGTGTAATTATTATATAGTTTCTATTTCAACCAGCTAGCTAGCTCGCAATGCCCCGAAAATGCATCTTCCTTGGAAACCAGTTTGCACAACAGCTCGGTGGCGTTATTTAAATTCCTAAGCAAAGAGGTGACACCATGGATGACGGTGCCGACCCAAAGGAGCCCCGGAAGCCTGTTCGCTCATGAGCCCTGCGGCAGCCAGGCTGACATTTCAAGTGGGAGCATGGCAGCGGGAGCTCGCTCTGTGTGGCCTCCTCGCTAAATGAGTCCTTGTTGGATCCAGTTAAATGGGGACATCCTTGAGCTGCGCTTTTCAAAGCCATTTCCATTTTTAGCTGTCAATAAATGGAAAGGGAGCGGACATGAAAGCTCGCAAGCCCAAGAGTCCCATTTCTGTGAAACCACTGTAAGGAATTATGCGATCGGCAGTGAATGAACGACCCGCTGTCTTATCTCGACTTGAAAGCCAGGCCTGAAATGTCCCTCACTCTCTCCCTGTGCTGCTGGCCTTGCCCGGGCCTGGTTTAGACGAGGGAAACTTTGCCCGTGCTGGGCCAAGCGCCACGGAAACAAATGGGTAGTGACACGGGCGCTGAGGAGCGTGTGCGCGCGCCCCGAGGTCATACTGCATGAATTCGACGCGATGTAAAGGAGACAAAAATGGCGTGATTGGGAGCATGGTACAGTAAACCCGCACCTACTTGTAAATTTTTCCACGGAATATAAAATTATTAGCCAACAAAAATGAACCCTCATCATTCCAGAATTGCAGGACAATTAGGGTACCAATATTTTGGAAAAATGAACCACTTATTTAAAGATTATTTGTTGTGTTTTCAGGAAAAAACTGGTAAGAAATCAACTATTTGAATTTGTCCACAAACGTCAACGGGACACTTTTTATTTGTCATGTCACTCAGTCCTGTTAACAGATACATAAGTACATGAAAAAACATATTTGAAAAATATTGCTGAATAAATCATTTCCAATTAAGAAATAAGGTTGAACGATTTAAAAAAATATATATCATAAAATTATCATTTTTTTTCTGCTCAAAATTGCAATTGCAATTTAATCTGTGAATTTTTTTAAGGCCCTCTTCCCACACATAGTTTTTTGGGGGGAGTGGATTCATGGCATTTCCATCCATTTGTAAAAATTCTTGGCGATATGAATAAATGAGTTACGGGAGTGGACATGGAAAAAAAAACTTGTATCACCACTATATACCGGTAGCCTTTTAATTTTTTTTTTTTCTTAATTGGGCCTGGGTGGCATTCATATATATTTTTGCTTTTCCTCTCAGGACATGGTCCCTAACCCCGAGAGCAGAGATTCACTGTATATTTTTATTCCAGCCTGTTTATGGAAGAGGTGTCATAAATAGAGAGTTAGTGTGAGGGACATCCAAGAGCGTGTGCTCCGGTGTCAACATGCCCCCGCGTCTGCTTTTTTCCATTTTCCCATTTCCCCTTGTCGTCTCCAGCGGCGGCGAGGTTGCGTCGACCACAGGGGAGACGTGAAGAAGCCAGATAAATATTCATACATCTGAACATCAAGGAACCGACTCATGCTCTACTTTAGATATTTCACTCTAATATACGGTTTGAGTCTATTTTGGCACCAATAAAAAAGTGATTCTTCTGAGAATACAGTAATCAAATATAAAAATACTTAATAAAGCCTTTGTGAAAATCCATAAAAATATTTGCAACCCATCCTAGAGCGGGGCACAAAAGATGAACCGCGACCACGCGGGGGAATGCTATACACTCACACGGAGTATTCCATCTGGCGCACCCCCAACGGACATAAGGGGGTGTGATGGCCCGTTGTTCGCCGCTTTGCGAGCTCAGCATTGACAGGTTGAGGTGCCGAGTGTTATGCAGCAAACAACAGACGACTGCAGGGAATGACAATTAATTACTCGGTTTTAATGACTGGACTTCCTGGGCCAAGTGTGTGCATCGGGGAGGTTGTCATGGCAACCGTTCCAGGTTTGCTTTTTAATGCGTTCCAAATGCCCAAGCGCTCGGTCTCGGGCCGTTACGTTAAATATCACGACTTGCTAAGTGCGTCGAGCTGTAATTAAAGTACGCGTCGAGTCGCATTCTGCTCGGCACTCGTGATATCACAGCAAAGTGCTCGGAAAAAAGGATTCGGCGTGAAATCAAAAAGAGGCGCGCTCGTGCTGGGGAAATTATTATCGCAGAATAATGCATGAACGCCAGCGTTATCTCGCGTGAGAATCGCCGGCTCCAGCGGGCCCTCTGCGTTAAGCGTCCCCTCCGGGTAACAGCTGGAGGTCGTGCAAGGGGCTTGCTTTGCCCATAAATCAGTGATTAACTCTTAACCGCTCCCAAACAATGAGGTATCCACTCTAATCTGGAGGGGTGGCGGGCGCGCAGGGGTGGGTTGGTGTAGGCTTCAAGTGTGACCACGGGAAAAAGATTAGCCTGTTTTTAAGAGGCAGAAAGCATGGCGAGGGTTTCTTCGGGGGAGGAATAAAGCTTATGAAAGGCCATTTACATACCAGCGCAACAAACCCCCCCAGCCAAATGTTTCGGCACCCGTGTTTGCATAACTTCGAAACGTGCACACAATGCACGGCGGCGCTTGAAAGTTGATGATTGCACGGAGGGATGAAATGGGGATTATGACTCGCCTGTGAAAGTGTTGCACTTGGCAATCAGCGTGCCACCGCAATCATTGAACGGGCCAAAACACCAAACCGAGAGGCATCATTCAAGCACCCGCAAAGTGAATTCAAACATTTGTTTCGAAATACCTGATACATGTTTAAGGATAATTGCAAAAAGGTTGTGTAAAGTCTGAGAAGATTTTGGGGGGGGGGGGGGGCTAAAATGGGGGACCACTCATGCACCTTGGTCTCGACATGGGTCACCCCTTCCTCACCAACTTGAGCACCTTCGTTCACATCAATGATTATCCAACATCGCTGCAACATGCAATTAGCTCGCAAGTTAACCCGAAACACCCCGAAAATCATTCCCTTCCGTGGTCCGTATGATTGGCTGCTTTAGAGCGCCATATTGTCGGCCGCGAGTGCACGAGTGTCACATAGAGAAAGACAGAGGAGCGAGGATAAAAAAGAAAAATCACACTTGAATCAGATTTTATCGCGCAATTACTGTATGTATTGTATTCAGTGTTTGCCTTTACGGGGCGTGGCCTAGTGGCACAGCAGGCGCTACAATGGGGTTGGCCAGTTAGTCTGAGTGTGAACGTCTGGGCGTGAATTGGCCTTTTCGCAGCTTCTCGTGAGCATTCTCGTTTCGTATTTGCACGTTAGACTGTTTGTTCCGTCCAACTGAAAGCGCATCGGCAAACCGTGGCTCACCTTGCCCACGTGAGAGGGCATTACAATCCCTCAATTATTTACTCTATTTTGAGGAATGAACAAGCCCCCGAATGAGAACTACTGCTATCTGGGGAGCGCATCGAGTGTCAGTAAGTCTTGTAAATGGGATCTACTTCAATCATTGCGGAGAGGGGCAAGCATGAGGAGGTCAAATAATACCGAATTTGTCAGCACCGCATGATGTCGTCTGCCATGCTTGTTTTTCCACACGGTCGTTCTCCCCCGCCTGTGACGCAGCGTGCGGTCGGCAGGTTTCTGGGTGATCAAGGTCGGGCTGTTAATTATCTTTGCGTGCCATTTCTATACCTGACAACACTTGCTGGTTGCTCGGGGGAAACCTTGGCGCTCCCTGCTTGTTTTTGTTGATGCGGAGCAGTCATTTCATGCACGGAAAATGACAGCAACAACATCGTGGAGCTGCGATTTATATATTAATGCACCGATGGGGGCTTGGGTTCATTGTTCCAGACCCACCCGCGATCTGCGAAAATTCACCAAATAGGGAGACGATGAGGAAACGTTTATCCCTCCCGCACACCGAAAATAATAACTCAACTAAATTTAGGAAAGCATACTTTTTAAAAGTATCCCTGACCTTTTTGTCAGTTCACACTCTCGCGCTGTCAAGAAAGGGGACGATCATACCGTATAACATCACTTTGAGGAAATGCAAAGAAGACTCTCACGTGACGACAGTTTTCGAAAGAGCTTGCTTGCTTCAAGCTTGTTTGTCACTCCCCGTTGAAGTGGACTAAAAGTGACACCTAAAACGGAAAAAACGAATGACATATTGGATATCTAATCACCAAAACCTTTCACGAAACCGTGATTTGAATTTGAGTTAATGTCGCCCTGTCCAGTGACTGGTTGATTCATCTGTACGTGCAGCATGGGGTGGCTCGGACGAGGAGGCAATGGGTTTGGGGGTGGGGGGGGGGTCGTGCTTATTAACTAATGAGGTTTCCATAGTAGCGCAACCATGCAGCCACAGTGGGAAGTGCAGCTGTGTTGTGTCTGGGCGGCTCTGACAGGGCTCTAATCTCTGGCCTAACAAAACCAGACACCCTGCCGAGGCATGCATGCTCCACACACACACGCCGACATTTTCACCGCCAACGACGTCTTTTTTTGATTTTCTCTTCGCTAAATTAGCCGCGGCTCGTAATTGGCCCGCATTATTCGGGACGGAAAATTAGAGCACTTTTCCACAATTACGCTCGAAATGCATCGTTGCGCGTCCACCCCCCCAATCATCTCACGTGAACACTTTTATCCTTTATGTTCATAAATATTCAATTATTTGTCAAAGGCTACACGTTTTTTTTTTTTTTTGCATCTAGTTGAGGATTAGCACACGACCAACCCTAACGTATTTTCAATAAAGGATGAATTAAATTAATCCTAATCCTGAGATGGTCAACAAGTTTAGCATTTTTTTTAATCAGAGATGCAACTTTTTTTTTTTTTTTGGGAGAGTGAGGCACGTTCTGACAAACTGATTAGAAAGGCGCATAAGAAACGCAACCTCATCGTAATCCGACAACCTGCAGTACATGTTTCGTAATGGCAACAGTGACCCTGTGATTTCTATTTTTTTTTTTTTTCGATGGGAAAGCTTGTTAAAAAACGGCTCAGAAATGGATCACGTGACACACCATGAGTATTAAGGTCTCTCCAGTCCCGACGTGGCGGATGTTATTGTTTTCGGTGGTAGCGCTCCACATACTAAGCAAGCATTGTTTCGCTTTGTGGTGTTTCTGTTGAATTCCCTCCTGGATTGAACACTCCCCCTCGCCTTCTTCCCTCCATTTTAAACACCCAATTTCTTTCTTTCATGGGAAGGATCGTGTCGATTGAATCATTTTCACAGGCGTGGTGGGTGGTAGGAGGAGGTGGGGAGGGGGCGCTCACCGTGGGCCTGAAACGAAATAAACTCCCGAATCAATTTGAGACGGGAGCAAGCTCGCTCGCCCCCGCAAAGCTGGAATTGGTTTTGTTATTGAGAATTAAATGAAGTGTACTTTTTTACTCTCACTGCAGATCACAGTCTTCTCTTCAGATGATCCCAGCTGACTCGCATCCACTTTAATGAAAGCGACACACTCCGAGCTGGCTGCAACCGACGGCCCGGGCCTCGTTGGTTTGAAACGGGGGCCGCCTTTTTTCAACCTTTACACCGTCGCTTAGCGTTAGGCAGCCTTGAAATTACCCGGCTAATGACATTTAAATCCAGCCGCCGTTTGTAACCCGCTGTCGACTTCTCCGCTTGCGATTCAATCACGGCTCGGTCTTGCCGATCCGTCTGCAACCATTTTTCGTCACGGTTTGAGCGCCGCAACCATTTTCAAAGGGCTGCGGCCCATCCCAACAGACGCAAGAGGTAGGCCAACCCCTGGAACGATCGCCAGCCAATTTGAGTCAGTGGTGATCTATGAAAGCACAAAAGAGTTGGATATAAGATCGTCTCGTTTACCGTGCGCATTCGAAAGTGCCCATTCACGTCGGTGGGGATGGCGACTTTGCTCAGACGTGAGAGCAGAGGAGGGGTGAGTCAAGTGAGGCTAATGTTCAAATCTTGCTCGCGGTTTGAAAACGGCAAACTCCATCTTTCAGTGACGTGTATCGCTCTTCTTATTACTCGCTGAGGAAAGACCGGATGAATGGCCCATTTCTGTCTCCTTTCTTTCCCAGGCGAGCCACCCTCGGCGGCTTCCCGCTACCCGTCTCCCGCCGAGCTGGACGCCTTCGCCAAGAAGACCGCCAACAATCCACTGTGCATCAAGATCTTTCCCTCGGACATCCGGGTACCGCAACACAAACAGCTGAACAAGACAGTGAACGGCTTGGACACCACGGGCCATAGCTACAGCCCCTACTCGCAGCCCTACTCCGGAGGCTACCAGGGCTTGTTAGCCATCGGCAAGGCGGCGGCGGTTAAGGGTGTGGTGAAGAACTCTGAGGGGAAAAGGACCAAACAGACGCACAATCATGCTTGTCTGACGCCGTATAAAAACCCAGTGAATGGTGGATATAGCATCCGGCACAGGCACAAGGCCTATCACGTAAACTCGTGTAAGCCCGACGTTCCTGTGGAAACGCTTTGTTCTCGTGCCGGGATGCCCTCCGGAGATCACGGCCTGCTCCCTCACTCTGAGCTGGCGGAGGTTCAGAGCCTGATGAGGCAGCTGAACAGAGTCCCCCGGCCAGGGGGCGAGGCGAGGGCCAGCCCCTCTCTGCAGGCGGTGGCGGCGGTGGCGCGCCCGGACTTGGGCGCGGGCGGGCCCCCGACGCAAAGTAGCATGGCATTCGGCGGGGCGGTGGTCCCCACGCAGAGCGCCGCCCACGTGGCCCAAGCAGACTACGCCGTGTGGCAGCGCAGGCATCAGGTCTACCGACAGGGAGCCGCGAGGATTTACAACCTCGCGGCGGCCGACTCCGGCGTGGGACAATCTCCCGAAAGCTGCCTAACTTTGGCGTCCTCCTCTTACGGGGTGCATCCACCCATGCAGGGTCACTTGTCCGTCAGACACTTCTTCACGCCGCTCTGGGACGGCCTCACCGCTACGCCCAATAGCGACTGCTACGCTTCTCAGGTGCCGGGTACCATGGCGCCCCCGCATTCCCAACTCCGCCAACACCACCAGACACATTTCCATCCTCCCCCTCTTCCAGTTCCTGTTCATCCTCAGGTAGAGGTGCAATTCACAAAATTGGAAACATTCCATGGGATTTAACAGTCGTATACAAATAAAAATAAACCAGGAATTTGCTCATTCGAAAGTCGTCTCTTAATAGCGAACTTAATAAATGAACTCCCACTATTTAAGTGGTTTCGGGAAGGAGCCCTGTTGCGAAAATCTGAGTCGTTGACACCCCTCCAAATGGGTTTGTAATTGCCTATAGAGGGCGGCAAAGAACTACATGTGTCTAATTGAAGTGTTCGACTCACTTCCAATTGTTTCCTTGGCACCGAAATGCCACCAGATGCAACTAAAGCGTTACTGTTATTGCTTGAGCTAGAGTACAAAAGCAGGAAAGGCCGTTTTCAGCGAACAACCCAATTCCCCTCCACCCCGTCCAACAACTGTGAATTGGCAAATTTTTGAATCCCAAACCGCAAATATGAGGGGGTTCACTATGGTTTCAAAAATAAATTTTAGCATATTCGCAATAAAAACAAATAGATTTCAGAGTTATGAGCCGTCGCTTGGTCTGTTTTTTTTTTTTTTTGGGGGGGGGGGGGCTTCAGATAGACCACCACTTGATTCAAGTGGAACAAAACAGAGTGGTTAAGGTCCTGTAATGCCCTTGAATGTGGGGAAGGAGAGCTCTCCATTTTGCATGGATGTCTTTTTATGACAAACAAAACGTATTCAATTCCCATTGAATGTTTTCAATTCCAAAATTCTCAATTTCCCATTAAAAATATCACGGAAAACCTTTCAGGGAATTTACTGCATTTTTTTTTTTTCTTCACCGCTTTGCGACCCAATCCTCAGGTCTCAGGCACAGAGCAAAATGCCTGCTGCGGGCCGCCGGGCGCCAGTCTATGCCACGCCGCAGCACTCAGCAGAAGTCTGCAGTCTCTGGAGTGCCTCATCAGTGAAATCCAGCCGCCCTGCATCAAAGAGTGCATGCTGGGCCGCGGGTACGAGGCCGCCGGGACGCAACAGATGCTGGAGCAGCAGCAGCAGCAGCCTCATCATCACGCCCACATCCAGCTTCCAGTCTACAGATGATACACGAGGCGGCCGACGGCAACTCGCTCTGAAATCCAATCTGACCCAGTTTGGACAGAAGAACGCACGAAATCTTTGACCAAAATATTCAGGAATTCTCACCAAAACACGGAATTTGAATTTTAGTACGTCGCTCTAATAGAGGCGTAAGAAAATATGGTCATGCGCCGTCTGCACAGATCCGCTCCGTTACTTGACAAGTGTCACTAGGGCGGCTTGGCCATGAAGTTCTGCCTCCGCGAGTGAAAATTCAATCCGTGCTTTTACCCTCTCTATGAGGGCACCCTTTTTTTCCCCCCCTCCCACACTCGAGGCTCTGCAAGGAGTAGCCACTCGTCTGGTCGCATCCCTCATACTGTAGCTCCGCCCCCAGTCGTTATGGTTACGAAAGCACCGGTACCACGGTGGAGGGGGCGCAGGAGAAGCAGCAAAAAAATGCACACTATGCCCCCATTGAAGAATTATAGATCAGCTAGTGGTTAGCAGTTGCACCAGCCCGTATAGTCGAACAGTGATTTTCAAACGTTTTACACCAAGTACCACCTTGAAAAATTCCGAGCTCTCCAACGACTGCCACAATGACTAAAATTAAAATACAGTAGTGAGTAGACCTGAAGGTTCAGCAAAAACGAGACGAGAAATGACTGTTGCACCCCCCCTCAAAAAAAAAAGTACATGTAGTACTGTTGTAAGTCACTGGAACCTTATGCACTGTCTGAATATTAACACTGCACTTAAATATAGGGCAAAAAAATGTTCTGATTGATTCAAATAAAATGTATTGCACATTAAAAAAAAAAAAATAAAATCAATGAAAAAAAATCCTACCTAAATGCTGAAAAACAAACCGTGCTAATGTACCGAACGGAAACGCTAAATACAAATGAACTGCACTTGGGCAGGGATTCTTTTGCGTACCACCAGAGGCGATCATTTTTTTTTTTTTTAATCACAGCCCTCAGGAACCCAAAGCATTGCATGTGTTTTTGAATCCTTAATACATTGTTTGACTCCCCCCGAAGTTCGGGGTTGAATTCCGAATTCTGAGAGTCCGCCATCAGTTTTCGGTCCCGTGTGTGAAAGGACTTTGCTAGGAAAACGGCAATCGTGAGCCGAGATGCTGATTAATCTTCACACTGATGAAGAGCGCTAACAGTGAGCATTATCCGCCATCATAATAATAATTACAATAAACACAGAGGTACTGTACTAGAATCTGCTGACCCGCTCGTCGAGAATCATGAACACTCAGGCTTCTCCAATATGATTCTTGTGCTCACTGTATGGCGGTGGGCGTAGGGGGTAAAGATGTGAATATTTTTTTCTGTGTTGCGCATTACTCACGATGATAAATATTCTGTCACGGTTTTTTAACGTTTTAGTTGATTTTAACGTTGTCCGCCGCAGGTCAGGCCAAGCAGAACGTGCCCTTTGATTGTGTTTTGACCTGGGGTGGGGGGTCTTGTTTGTTTGTTTGTTTTGGGGTCATTTTAAGAAACAAGCATTCACTGGACTTACTGGGTTAACAGTTTCAATCCAATATAAGAACCGAAATTCTTCCTTCGCAAGTGTCGAGATGTTTCTGAAATTTCGATACGACTCTTGGATTGGAGCTCATGAGACTGTGCAGGTGTACTGATATTTTGATTTCCTCTCCACAACTCTGGAATGTCGTGCCGCCGACACGCAATTGAAAACATCACGGCGGGTACTTGCTTGTGTGTCTGCACTGCTTGTATTATATTTATTTATGTTGACTTGTATAGGGGCTGGAAAAAAAAAGTGTCTCTGTAATTATTAAGTGCAATTATGATATCTATGGACATGATGAGGTATGTTGTTGAAATATGTATGTACATAATGTATGTATGTGTGACCTGTCCCTTTTCGCCCTCTGCTTCCTAATGAGGATTGTCAAGTAAATGACATTTTCTAGACCCAAATAATTGTGTTTTTGTTCTGTCACGCATTTCTGGAATAATTTCTGAAGACATAGGTTAACACCATACTTCTTAATTAGAATTAAAAGTTCAACTATTTCACATCAATCACAGGCACTTTCGTTGAAATCAACCATCCAAAAGAAATAAATGTATGATACTAGAGACTGTATCCTGATGCTGTGAAAACAATTCGGATTTTAACAATGTTCAACCCTTTCATGCACCCTGTAACGTGATTGTCCACTGTAGTAACCGCTGTCCATGAAAGGGTGAATGAGACTCGAGCACGGATTCCCATTCTAATCATTTGATTTTTTTTTAAGAATGGATGAGAAAATGCTCTATTTTTTTATTCATCATTTCTCAAGTAATTCCAATCATTCTAACTTCAAAATATTCTACATTCAAACCATTTCAAACATTCGTAATTTCTTAATTGATTTCAATCTTTTTTTTTTCAGGATTTGACATGAGAAAATTCCCTCGCACTTTTGGGACGATTCTATAAATAATGCACATTGCAAATGGATCACTGCCACACCTTTGTGGACTAAGAAAAGGCCATTTGAATGAATCAACGTAGCATGTAAATGAAATCAATTAGTTCATGCCAGCATTAGCCCGTCTGTATTACAACACAAATGACCCAGACAAAAGGCGGAATAGCATTATGCTCACTACTTGGAGGCTAAATCAGCAATATGGGCTTGATAAGTAATCATCTAAGCCTTAAAGGTCAGTGTTGTTGTCATTGAGGCACTGTTGTTGGGCAGTGATTTGCTGATTTGAGCCCATTGTGCAGCAGCAGGTTTGGACGCGGGGCGTTTTTCATGCTATTTATCTGTCAAGACAGGCCCAGGCGCCGTGCTGATAAACCAACCTGGAACACAGACGTGCCCTCCTCCACTCCTCTCTTTTTTCCCGCTGACGATTAGTCCAGGCCCTGCTCCTCCGGGAGGGGTACAGGAGCTGCTCCAACCTCCCGGGACATGCTTTCAGATAAGGCGGCCTGCAGAAGGAAGAGGAGGAGAGTTGATCTGGTGGGATTAGTGCGGGGAAAAGAAAGAGAAAGGAAAGGTGATCCTAATCTCTTTTTTTTCCATGAAGTTGAGAAGTTAAATTGTCTTCCAGTAAAACTCCGAACTAAATGCAGAATAAATGATTACATAGTACAGTGGCGTCTTAAGACGTGTCTTGAAAATATTGCATGGCTTCACTCACTCGTATAAAATGAAAAGAATTCAACAGTTTGTGCATCAGTACGTAATTTATTGCTGCTCCTTCTGGTTTACGGTCCAAGGTAGCATGCTGACACATTGAAAGATAGTTCCCCCACTACTCTAAATGACTCAGTAAGCTGTAACATTACCGGTAGTCATTTTTGCTTTGCAGAGGAGTGCACAGGAAAGCCGGAGGTGGAATTAAACCCCTGCACCTCTGCTACGTGAGGGCAGGCATGCTAACCAGTCCACCACTGTGCCTCCCGTGCAATGGACTATTCCATCTTATTGCACATGAGCACACTTTTTTTTCAGGAAGAGTAGCAAAAAAACTTGACAGCACACTGTGAGGAAATTTAAGCATCCAAGTCATGTACTTGTTAGGGGGGGGGGGCTTTTTGAAACAGCACTGAGAAGTGTCTGTTTCTGTCACATTTTCTCAGCTTGCTGCAGTTTGGTGGTTGAAGGATGATTTGAACAGATTCAATGTCAGGCTTCCGCAGAGCTTGCTGATGATCTGATCATTTGAATCACGTGTGTTGCAACAGGGAAACTTGGAAAACATGCAGGACAGCGGCCCTCGAGGACCTGAGTTTGACACCTATGAGCTGCAAGAGGGTCGGAGGACTGGGCAAAGGTGTCACGTTTGTGCTTGCAAAGACATACGTTCCCTCCTTTGAAATATTGTCACCCAAGTTATTAACATGCTCTGGAAAGATGTGCGTCTTACAATTTGAAATAAACAATGATGATGATATTTTTGATCCAGAAAACACCGTGAGCAAACCTATTACAACACTTGCAGGTTTGTTTTGCTGCCACGAAAATCCACAATGGTGACCTGATTACTGGTAAGGACCGGGTCAAAGCAAACATACACTGCCCTCTACAGTCCAAACGACCAACACTCAGACTCTCTCGATCAATCAATAATACAACGCCTGCAAACCCCAATAGGAAGGAAGTCCCTCATTTAAAAGCACCCAAATTATTTTTAGTACTTGTGTATGAACCTGAACGCTACGTTGACGTCGTTATCAGCAGACATCACATCAAACCGGTGATTTAATCGGGCTACTCTTCTTTTTACCGTATAAAAGGACTGTAACTGCACTTGGCTTTTTACAAACACACCGCATTCGGGTAAATGTCACAGGTAAATACGGAAAACGGTCAACGGTTTAGCTGCATGGTTGCATCGGCGTTATTTTACTCACCTTTCTGTTCTCCGGGACTTTTTCCGGTTTGCGTTCTCGCGCCAGCACGCCGATGACGAATAGGGGCGGAGTGCGGATGCCACGTGGTTTGCTCTGCCGGCTTGAGGTTTGGGCTTAATTGTTGCTTTCAAAAGGTGTGAGAAACAGAGTACACTAAGAGAGGCGTGACGGAATTCGGATATGGAGTGTTTATCTTCAACTGGAGGGCTTGAAGTTTCCTTTTAGGTCTTTTTCATTTTGAAATGTGACAATGACGAAAAACACACGAGTGACGTCATTGTACGGAACAACCGGATACAGTGACTCGTTCGTGAACATCTCTCCACCGTAAACAAAAAGCGGACTCAACTGCTTCGTAGCATACTAAAGCCCGGTCAGGTAATAGACATAAAAGACAATGATAAAAGTTAAAAGCTAGTTTTGCGCTGCGTGTTTGTTTTCATTGCTTTCATTCTTCTGTACTCCCGATTTTTTTCCGGTTTGAAATCTCGTCGCTCCGCAGCTTGACCGATAAGAGGAGAGCATTGTCACGTGGTTTTCTGTGAGCCACTTCGGACCGCTTTTTTTTTTTTTTTTTAATTCGAGGGGGGAAAAAAAAGTCCTATTCAAAGAGAACGTTCATCACCAGACAGAGAATGAGGTAAGTCACTCTGATTAACAAGTTATAGTCACAAAGCATTAAACAATAATCACATCCTTTCATCAAACACTGGACATGTAGACAAAATAAATCCCTTTTAGGAACTGTGTAATTGTGTCATAATTTCTTGTGTAAGCATCTTACATATTTTCTGACAACGTTGTCTGTCAGTCCACTCATATTAAGGCACCAGCTGTAGTCATGAAATCTTGTGAAACCGCAGCAGGAGCGCTGCATTAAAAAAAAAAAAAACTCAAATGTAACACTTGCTCAAATGTAAGGCTCCGCAGATTCTGTTATAAGGCAAAATAACAAAATAAATACATTAAAATCACACATGGAAGGTAAATAAATGACACCGCGCTCTGACATTAAACTGTGTAGTCCAGCTCCGCGTTGAGCCTCGCGTACATATCATAGATTGCGTCCACAGTGGCGGCGAAGTTGACCAGGAAGTGACGCAGGTTTTCCAGACATTCTTCCTCTTTCACATCCTCTCCTTTCGACAGTGCCTTGAGGAAGTTGGACCGATAGGGAGCAGCGTAAAGCGCCGTCTGCAAGATGGTGAAAAATTTCCAAGTGAAGAAGAAATACAACTGAACATTGAAGTACAGAAATGTTAAAACCACTGTGACATCTGAGTTTGAACATTTCGATGATTCTTTCACGTGCCACTAGAGGGAGCCTGCGTGCCCTGGTGTGGGAGTAAATGATGCTGGACTGTATTTCATGCAGATGACACGGGTTCAATTCCCAACCAAGGCCCAAATTCATTCAAAATGAATGTTTTTTTTTTTTTTTGGTCCAAAAAATTTAGGAGAGGCACCACTTTGTTTTGCATGCTCTATTCTCCTCGGGATGGGTGGGTTTTCTCCAGGTACTCACGTTGAAAATCTTCTGCACAAACCACCCGTGGTATCTCTTTAGCGCCTGTTCGTAGGCTTTGGTAATGTTGACGCGTATAAGGTTGGGCTGGTTCAGATCTCGCTCGCCGTCTGCTAAACTCTGCAGCAGGATTTGGATGAAACGGAGTCCCCTTTAGGACAGAAACAGACGCCTAATAAGTCATCTTGTTTTTTTTTTAAAGACATGTTGTGGAGCCTCAACCACCCTTGAAGGTTATTTGGTGTACCTAACGTAGTGTCCGCTGCCTCACCTCTTGAGCCACATGAGAGCCAGCGTCGCTCCCGCTTTGGGCCATTCGGCGCCGAGGTCTTGCCGCTCGGACTCCAGGATATGTTGCAGGGTGACGTACCGGTGCGGGTCCTTCAAGTACACTTCTTTAATTTTCTGTAGGCACACGCACACCCAAAGAACACTTTCATAATGTAGCAATTCACATGATAGACACGCATTCATCTCAATCACACAAGCGCACACTCAACTATACACTTATCTGTACATACACACAATCAATCTCATATCGACATGCACCCTCACAGGCACACACACACAGACACACACACACACTTACATAGTTATTCACTTGCAGACTCTCTCTCTCTCTCTCTCTCTGTCTCTCTGTCTCTCTCTCTCTCTCTCTCTCTCTCTCTCTCTCTCACTCACTCACTCACTCACTCACCGTGATGTTGCCGTTAATGTCTGACTTGATGAGCGAAAACACTTTGGAGCCCAAACAGTCTGGGGGACAAAAGTACCATTTAATTCTGTGAATTGTGGCTATTATCAAGACAGTTATGCTCAATTCACCAATATTAATGACTTCAGAATACCAACATTGAGCTGCACGTGCCATTCAATATATCAACAAGGTGGATTCATGTCATTTCCCAAACTTGGTTTGTTCAGAGATGGTTTGAGTTTGAAAAAAAAAATGCAGCATAATATGACAGAGTGGCATTATATAATGTCACCAAAAAAGACCACCAAAAGCGTAATAGGTGCGTGATTTGAATTGTGAAACTAGATCAGAGAGTATGGGTGTTTTACTCGTGTGGAGGAGAGCGTTTTAGCCACATGTGTGAGCGTTTCTTTCACTCGAGAACATAAATACAGTAACTGTGAGAGCGTTTTGGTCGTGTGTGAGAGCATTTCAGTTGATCCTCAACAAGACTCATGAATACCCTTCCCCACCGCAAAAAAATGGTACTGTTCTTTAGGAAAGTTTAGCAAGCTACACTTTGTTTCTTTGACTTTGTATTTAAATGTTTTGTTCTTTTTTGTAAATGCTTTTAAATATCCTACTTTTAATTATGTGAAGCACATGATAACCTGCACTCAATGCACTGAATAAAGCCGTCTTGTGTTGCCTTAAGTGTGCGTTTCTGTTGCACTTGAACGATGTTCCTAACGGTCCCTCATCGTGTAATGCAAATGCTGCGTAAAGTGCCAGCAAGACCTGTCGCTGCCCGGCTGACCCCGGATAAGAGTGCATGCAGTGCACTTCGGCCAGGTGTCAACACTAAAAACCAAGCACATCTGTATCACATGAGCAGGCTCACCAATAAGGTCACATATCAAAAAAAAACAGTTGAGGCATAAATCAAACGAAAGTGGACTTTTTGTGGTTGCTCACCGAAGAAGGTCGGAAGGTGTGAGACGGTCTCCAGAAAGAGTTTTGTGTTGACGGAGTTGTCTGGGGGTAGCTCCCCGAATCGGTTGTCCAGGAGCAGAGACATATTTTTCGTCTTCTTACTACTGCCCCCTCCTTTGAGCTGCTCTCCGGACCAAAATAACCCGGAAGTCGCTTTTACCCGGATAGGAGGAGCCTGTCAGCTCGCATTCGGGCTCAGGTGTTTCTCCTTCCCTTCTTTTCATTCAAAAAAATATTTGAATCACCTCAATGTGTTTCTATTCTGATTTCAAAAGGATTTACTGCAATAGTGTAACTTTAGAAAGTTGTTCTCGTAGAGTCGCGTGATGATGACGACGCATTAGGCCACATCATTGTGGACACTTGCGTCGTCATACGGTAACTCTACAAAATGCAACGGATAATCGGGTAATTCTGCGCCACAATTAAAATATTTGAAATTATCCAGGGGTTGTTGCTTGTTTTTATTTACCTGTTGATTCAAACATTAAATATGTCCAGCATCTATCTATCTATCTTTCCATCAAAGCAATAAAATCAATTAAATGTGGATGTCCATCTATTCATGTTTTAATACTTTTGCCCAAAGGCTAAATTCACAACATGGCCTAATAATACAAAAAGTCAAATGTCAAAGCCACATATCAAATATATGTTTATTTATTTGTTGTTGGGTATACTCTGGGTTATTGGGGGCTAGGGAGGTGTGGGAAATAAGTACCAAGTGTGACATTTCTCCCATTTCATTCTAAATATAGTAAATTGTGGCACACGTTAAAAATACAAATACAACAAGCTGGAAAATAAATGGCATCTGTTAAATTAAAGGAAACATTTTATATTCAGAGTTGGAAAGAATTGTGTTGTACATGGTAATAAGCTGCTGTTTGTTTGTGTGTGTGTGTGTGTTTTTTTTTTTTTTTGCATTACAGTGCATAATCAAAACAAGATGACATTGAATGGCATCTCTTAACTCTCGTCTGCCTTTCGGACACTTTTAAAACACAAATGTAACTTAGACCCACTTCACTGGACTCAGTGTGGCCGAGGTATTCTGTTACTTTTTCCACGCTTAACATTCAGGACTGAAAGTGACACACGAGAACAGATTTTACCGAAGGGCACATGTACTTGGATCCAAGTTTCCTAAACAGCGGCTCTAAACAGTTTGGGTATTGTGTTGAAAATGCATCACAGTCATGTTGTTAACATTTGGAAACTAGAGGTGTAATGATTACCATAATCATTAACTAGTTGTTGTAAAATTAAGTGGAAAACTTTGACTTTGGAAAACAATGATTTTGACCATTAGGTTGCGGGTATAATTACAAAAATAAAAACTGCTACTTTTCTTAAGAGGTATGACACGCACGATCATAAATACGACAAAAGGTTTTGCATTCAATCTGGTAATTACATTGATACGTACATTTGTATGCACCTCCCAAGTCGAACCGAAGTGCCGCAATTCAACAAAGGGAGTAGTTTCTATTTACTTTAATATTGTGATGGCACCACAGAAGGGCACCACTGACAGCAAATGAGGAAGTGTGATGGTTCAAAAAAAAAAGTGATCTTGGAGCATCAGCTGCTAACTTCCACGACATATCAGTGAGATAAAACTGTCGAATTTCCATCAGTCTAGAAACGATTTACCCCAATGATGCATGCGTCTTTTGTTCGATGACATATAGTGACAGGCAGAACAATTAAATCATTTGCCACTAAATGGCAGTAGATACAAAGACTACCCTACCTGACATATGTTTCGTGGGGTGCTGTCGGAAATAAAATCAGTCGGTTTTAGTTGTCTTACACTAATTCTTATACTTACAGACAAAATTTGAATTGAAACGATGACCGTGCGTTGACTAAATGTCTTCACGATGGCAACGTTTGGACTGTGGTTCCACTTTCGAGGTTACGCATCATTTGCATCACGTTCATGAAATGGATTTCACATGAGCCGCTAAGGACATCTCTCTCTCTCTCTCTCTCTCACACACACACACACACACACACACACACACACACACACACACACACACACACACACACACACACACACACACACACACACAAAGTCTGGCTGTAACCAAAAACACTGATGTCAGATACAGTGAACCCTGACTATTTGTGGTTCGCTATTCACAAATTCACATTTTTTTCCCCTGTGGAACATACCCTGGGCTATTTGCTGAAAATTTCACCTATTCGCTGCTTGTTGTGTAAGGCTTTAAAAAGCTATTTTGAAGTATTTTGAAGCGATATCGCTGTCATTTGTTTTTGCTTTTTTTTTATTTTTTATTAAGGTTAGGAAGGAGCAATATTTTCAGCCTGGATTGTTAGCGGAAGTTACAGATTCTACACTGCTTCGTCTTTGATCTGCGTATAGACGATTGCAAAAAGCTCAAGCTAACAAATGGTGGGCTCATTGTATACGGGCAATTCCTGTGCATGTTTCATTATCAATTATCTTTATCGTTCTTTAAGTGTTTTAGGAGGATAGTATGTGACATATTCATGGTTTAAACTACTAATATTCAAAATATCCAAACATTTGAGGGGCGGTCAGCTTCTCATATTTCTTTTCTATTCGCAGCAGGGCTCGGCTTTTATCCTCCACAAATACCGAGGGTTTATCATCATTGCCATGGCGATATATCCTATCTGTTTTGGAGCACAAGGACTGAAAATGAGGTTGGCTACAAATCTATGTAATCACGCCTTTGCTATCAGTGAAATGCTAATTGCTAGCTGTGGCGGTTGTGAGGTAATATCTTCTCCTCTGTCTAAAACCAGGGGTTTCCAAACTGGGGTCAAGCAAACAATTTTTAATGAACTATTAGCTCGGATCATTTTTCATATGTCAATATCCTTAAGACTTTTTTACTCTTTCAGAAAATCAACTTTTCAATTCCTATGGCCCATTGATTAGATTTCTTTCTCCCCTGGACACAAAAGTTTGCGAACCCCTGGTCTTGACGTATCATTGTGGTTCACGATCAAGGTAATAATAAATACTGTTCAATTTTCCAAGATAAAGGAATGTAGTTCTCAAGGACGTGAAGTGACCATTTGGGGGTGGGTTGAATTGAGTTGAAGGGCGGGGTTCTGGCTAGTTGCTGTTCTCTTTGGTGGTCACGGTGACGAGCTGCTTGGCGGCTTTGGCAATGTCGTAGGCGCACTGGATGACCTGTTGCGTGACCAGCTGGACGTCGGCGGCGGCGGGGGGGCACGGCCCGCGGCACTCGCTGTGCAGCCGGCCGGCGCTGGTGGTGAGCAGCGACAGGGAGCCGCGAACCGTCTCCGAGGACGGCCTCTGCCAGGAAAAGACAATGAGATGAGATGAGATGAGAGAGAGAGAGCGGGGTTCGGAATGTATTGTCAAAGAGCAATATTCAAAATTCAATAGGCAAGACCGCATGATGCACATTGTGCGGTGGTGTTTCGTAAACACGTGCTGCTGTTGTGGTGGGGTGTCGCGTTACCTTGGGAAACAGAGCGGCCATCTCTTTCACAGCCACGCAGATCTTCTCCGAACACGGTAGGAAGCTGTCCGGAGACAGACAAAAACACATGTGTGGTCAGTGGTAGAACGGGTGTCATTTACTGGTTGCATACTTAATTCGAAGTATTCATTTCCCCGTTTTGCGGTACTAGCAGCGCAGAACGGTGGTCAATGTAACAATGTAACACTGTAAATTTCCCCAGTGTGGGACAAATAAAGGATATCTTATATCATCTTAACTATTTCACACCAAGCTCCGCAGTCTGCTTTGGTGTTTAGCTACAGATACCTGATACTCCCATTCCTGTGATGAAAAATGTTCCATTTTGACAAGTAATCAGTTTAGTGCAAATTTCTGTGAAAAATAAAAATCACAATTGAGGGATGACGTACCTTTCGTGTTTGGTCTCCTGGGCGGCCCTCAGAAGTTCCTGAATATTCTTGGTGATTTGCTCCGTCTTACAGATGACGTCCTCGGTGCACGGAAGGGCAGCGGCGTCTTCCTCGCCTTCGGTCTCGCACTCCACCGCTGCTGAGGCTACCAGGGGGCTGCTGAAAGGTGCACAAAATGGAGGGAGGGAGAAGATCTTAAATTGGGATGACAACCTGTATGGATGGTTGCTGTTTGGATCTTTTTTTTTTTTTTTACATATTAAAAGTGCATAACTTAAAGCACGAGTTTGACCCCCAAAACATTTCTTACCAAGTATCCTCTGGTTCAGAGTGGGTCGGCGCAGCATCATAGTTGAGCACGGCGCTGTGTGCCTCCAAACTGCAGCCCTGTGGGGACACCAGACAAATTACCATCCGATCCAAATGCGCAGACAAAACCACACAAGCATGCACATGTCGGATGCAAAAGGGACTGCAAGCGAGGGGATGCAATTAGTCGATGCAAACAAATGCCGGCATGAATAGTGAACATTTTTATCGGCGGCCATGAAGCACATTTTAGCTTTCTTTCAAGGACATTTGGACCCTGCGTCTGGATTTTAGCGACTCGGTTTCAGAAAAAGTCAAAAGCGAGCAAGTCAAAGCCGAGATGCTTTTAAAAGACAGCCACGTCAGGTGAGAGGCGGCTAGCATAAAAAGAGGGTGGGGGCGGGCGGGGCGGGGGAGGGCGAGTGCTTTTTGTGGAGCCCTCCAGTACTTAACCCTTCGAGATCTCTCATCCCGCGACCAGGACAGGGAGGAGGGGAAGGATGGGAGGGAGGAAGCGGCCGTTCCCAAAGGACCCCTCCCTATCTAGAAAAGGGTCACACCAAGTTGAGCCAACTCCAATGAAATGAATGAATGGAAAAAAAAAAACCCAAAAAAACACCACCAGCTCCAAGCCAGCCATGTACACTGAGTCACGTCAACAGCCGAGCGGGAGCCAAAATGCCCTCGTGGCGCTTACATTGGTAGGGAAGGGTTGTAAGACGACACCGTCCTCCCGCCGAGAGGCGTCGTCGCGGTGGGGGCACTGTCTGGGGATGGAGCCGGTCTCGTACATTGACATGGCGCGTCCGCCGCGGGTCTGGCGTCGGCCCACGGGCCCCTGGACCTGGACCTGGGAGCCCGGGGCCTGCCACCGCAGCGTCGTGTTCTCCGTTTGCAGGGAGTTCAGCTGGGGTGGACAGAAGAGGTGACGCAGGTCCGAGGGGCATTAATAATGGAGGAAATTGCAGCCAAAACTCATGGAAAAAGCCTTTCGGCTATTTTAAGACACAGTGGTGCCTTGACTTCCAAGTCAGGCTTGCACAATCACAAAAGGATGCAATTTGGAAAGGGGCTACTATTTTTTTCAACGATTATATCTGTAAAACATATCATTTTAAGTGAAGAAGAATTTTTAACCGACACCGATTCTTTTTAATCGTAGCCACACGTCTGACGTTCGCAGTCGAGCAAACCACGTCAAAATCGCTTCAAAATTCAGTGAGTTATGAATTTTTAAAGTGTGCTCATCACTAAGTCTCAAAAGGAATAAATGAATTTCCCGCGAATTAGGTGAAAGCTCCCTTCAGGTTCAGGTTGCCTTCAGGTTCATGCAATTTACAGCAAACAACATCCCAATCATTTTCAGTTTTTTTTCCAACTGAGGGAGACTCCACGTTGACATCATCAATTCACGTCCGGCTGAAGAACTTCACGAACCTTGCCCTGCATGGCTCGCAGCTCTTCGCTCAGGTGACAGTTGACTTTGAGAAGCTGCTGGATTTTGGCTTCCGAGGCGGTGAGGGCGCTTTTCACATCCATGAACTCCTGAACCGTGATGGGACCGTCCGACAAGTCGGATGACTCAGAGCTCTGGTGCATGTCAACGAAATTCAATTGATCATTGTGTGTGCGGAAGAAGTAGGTGCTTCGGCAAACCTTGGTTCTTCCGTCGGTGCCGTTGTCCCTGCGGGTCGCCTCTTGGACGGGATCTTCATCCGAGGCCACGCTGTCGTAGTCGGGCTGGTCGTTGTCTTGGCTCTCGCTGCTGTGGCGACTGTTTATTCCTTGCAGGATCAGCTCCACACTCTCTGTAGGCAGAGACATTTAAAGAAGACATACAGTGGACAGTGATGTTGTCATTGTTGCAGTAGGCGTGTGCAATTCATCGAAATCAAATCATGATTTCAAGTTTCCCTTCTCACGATCATGCTGTATTTTGCTTTTTTTTTTTTTTTTTCACAATTTCTGTAATTTATGTAAATATATTCAGCTGTGATAGGCTCCGGTTACTCTCGACATAAATGAGAATAAACTAAAAATGAATAACGGTACGGATGAATTTTCGTACCTTTCGGACTTTCGCAGGAGTTCCCCCACTGCCGGCGTTTGGCATCTGTCAGAATATCGATGACCAAGGTGGCAAATTCATGGGCGCTAAACCTCGCCAACTTTTGACGACCCTGAGGACGGAATTCATTCATTTAAAAACAGCACACATGAACATTTAAAAAAAAAAAAACAGGTGCAAAACTTGCTTGGTTTCTGGTGGAGGAATATTCGGGGTTGACTGGCAGGAAAGGGACCACCGTGGTGTCTGTTACCAGTGTGCTGTGGTTCTGAGTGGCCAAACACACTAGAAAAGAACAAGCAAATTAAAGTCGACGTCCTATGGAAAATATATTTCTTAATTATGAGTATACTAATAGTTGGGTCTTTGGTGTGCCAAGTGTTTTTGCCGCATCATACCCGCGTCCGTTTCCCGCCTGTCCACTTCGTCGTAAACATCCATAGCAAGCTCTTCAAACTGATGGTTACTTAGCTGGAACGAAACAAACAAAACAAAACCGGTCAACCAATCATATGAACTTAAAAATATGTAATTGAACAGGAGGCGCCTTACAGACTGGAGCTTCTTCTTGGCGGCTTTTGCAAATTCGGACAAATCTAGACTGCTAAAAAAATATATAATAATAATAATAATTAAATCATTTCAAAATGAATTCGCAGGAAACCAAAAATTGTGCACATGCAGTCACAAAAAGATATCAGCTGCTTACTTATTCCTGTAGTCATCAAAAGAAGGCAGTGTTGGAAAAGTATTTGTCTTGAAAATTGACTCAATTAAAAATAAAGCATGTCTCTTTGTTTTTAATATAATACAGCTATGGCAATCCATACAAGTGACACCGCAAAATTGTCATTTACTCTGAGCAACTGTTTTTTTTTCTCCAGAGTTAGAAACAATAAAAGCAGGTGTACCTGTCTGCCATTTGAGGGATGATGAAGTGTTGGCCAAATCTGTGATCTGTAACAACATAATCATCAACGTCAAATTTTCAGCCATAAGGCAACGGAACTTTAGGGTCGATGCTTCGCATTATTACCTGGTCTTCGTCCACAAAGGTAAAATGTTAAGCGATCGGTGAGTTCGTATTGGATCTCCACGAGGCGCTCAGCTAGCTCCTGATGCCCAGCTTGTCTGCAACATCAAGTTTGGAACATGTAAGGAACCGACCGCTCAGGTATATTAAAAAAACAAAAACAAAAAAAAAAACTACATAAGCACAAGTTTAGGATGCAGTTGTTTTTCCAAGTAAAATGTTTGAAATGAGTATTTTTCCAAATTTGCTTTTGTCGAAATAACTCCAAGTGCCACTTTCTATGAACTGTTTTGAGCTCTTTTCTTTTTTTTGTAAATTAATTATCAGGCTGTACAGAATTTGGGAAACGCTGGCATTAAGCGTAAGACGATACATTTTAAGGGAAATGATATATAAGTGCTGAAGGGAGGAAGCCACTAAATGGTTCGGCTGAGCATGCTGGCCAACTGAATTTTGCTTCAGTCTTACATTCATTGAATTAGTCATCCGTCATGTGACATCATCATCTTGTATTCATTGTTTCACACACCATGCTCATGGTGGACTACAACCACTTTTTCCATGTTACGGCTCTGGTTAACACATTAAAATAAAAATAGTACACACATCTGTGGTTGTTGTCTTCCTCTCAGACTGTAATTGACGCACGTTGGTCTGGCTTTACCTAGCGTAGTCAATGGGGGTCTTCCCACTGGAGTCAAGAGCGCCGGGATCAGCTCCATACACGGCCAATAGCTCGGCTTGTAACAATTGTCCCGCTTTTGCTGCTATGTGCAGTGGCGTGTTTCCTTTCTCCTGTGACCCCGTTTCAAAAAAAAAAAAAAAAAAAAAAAAAAAAAGGGGGCATATTATTAGCAACATGATATCACGTGAAAAGGAAATAACACAAACAATCGTCGGGATAGTTCCATTCACCGGATGGAAGAAGTTGGCCTGCGCTCCCAGTGATAAAAGTCTCAGGCAGGTCTCCAGGTTCCCCGTTCGAACGCTGGAATGCAGTTGCTGCACAGAGAGAGACGAGTGAGTTTGGCTTCATGATGGGACATCAAATTCTTACCTTGCTGAGATCTTTGGCGGTCACGCTGTCATCCTCCCGACAAGGCATGCGATGGACGAATGCCAACATCTGGTATTTGGCCTTAATGAACTCTGTTTTATTGGGACTGGAGAGAACACATTTGGTTTGATTCTGTCATGTAGTGTTGTGAAAAGATCAGGATAACCCCAAATAGGGTACTCCTCTCTAATTGACACTGTGCCCCAATTAATTGCGACATAATAATAACAACAGTAAAATACAAACGTAAGTGGCAGTCACTTACTGAACGCGATCTTGAGGATTTGCTTTACGCTTGCCACTAGCTGAGGAAGAGGAGGAGGAAGAAGATGGGTCCAGAAGGCTGTGCTCCCATATGGAATTAGCTCCATTTCCGTAAAGTGTCTGGACCATCTAAAACGAGTCATTAAACTCTCCATTAATGTGTGAGATACGCCAACAGCTACAGAAGTGGTCCTATCGGTATCACCAATGGTCACCTGAAACTGGGACGGGGGCCACACTGAGTGGGTCAAATGCCGGACTTGGGAGCTGTGTCGTCCCAGACCGCGATGAATGCTGCAGCATTCATCGCAGATCAACACACCCCGGTTGACGGAGGCCCAGCGAGGCTCTGTAAAACGCACATGAGGTGGAAAATGAGGTTTGTATTCAGTGATGCTCGTGAACTCTTGCCATACATGGGGGTTGGGCTAAGTTTATCTTGAGACTTAAACACTAGAGAGCATGCGTTTTACCTACACCGAAGGAGCCGACGGAAAAACAAACATCTTTACTGTCATTACATGACTGTTGCATTAGTGTAGGTTCATGATAGCTACAGTGCAACACTCAATTGAAAAAATGCGCGCTATATCCCCTGCGTACGAACGGAATGTGATAAATAGAACCCACTCTCACACACGGAAACGAATAATGTGCATTCACAAATAAATGAGAGATAAGCGAGCAGTTTGGCCCCTTGTTAGATGGATGGATGCATGGATAGAAAGACTGACATACTCTATTCATCCCCCTGAAATATCATAAGAAACATTATGCCGCCTTACTGGCCATTTAACAACAAACGTTCACCGGCTAATCTACAATTCACGACGACACAGCATTGACAGCTGTTGAGCATCATCGGACTACGAAAGAAAATATCGCGAGAAGCAGAAAAGTTCGCTACAGCTCGCGCACAAACACAAGCAAAAACACTACCAAGGACACATTTAAACCACAATCGTAATAAATAGAAGACATTATGTGTAGTAAATCAGCTATGTTATCGTTAGCATCACCATAGTAATACAGCACAGGCAAACATTGCACGGTTTATATAGTGTTGTGTTGGAGGCTATAGCAGGTTAGCACGGCGGCTAGGCAGTTAGCTTGTTTGACATACCCGGGGCGCTGCAGTCGGCGCAGACCTCTTTGCTTCGCACTCGCTTTGACATCCCCCCCTTACAGACGCTTATTCAAACCAAACAGAAGAAGAGTGGACAATAGTGAGTGAGCCAGTCGAGCAGCAGTCGATTATGGTTGTCGGGACAAAAAGCAACAACTCTCTCGCTCTCTCAGCCCATCTGCCCTGCCTACTGTTGAACAAAGATGGGATGGAACCCGTTCCGATTCTCTGATGTACCTCCTCGTTCGCTTCCTCGCTCACTTCCGCGTCCTGTACGTCCACTGAACCTGCATAGTATTCGAACCGTATCAAGGAAAAATACGATTGACCAATACCTCTATATGATATGCCACGTTGCATTATATAATAATTAGTATTTCACATACAATGATGCTTGATTTTAATTCGTTCCGTGATTAAGCTTGTATGTCAAATCAACTTTCCTCATTGAAATTATTAGTGCTGCACAGATGAGCTGAAAGCAGTTGAGGCATCTCAATGAATTATACTTATACTGTCCCCAAGGCAGACCCGTCAAAGAAGGGGAGGGGGCACATGAAATTCAGCATGGGGGGCCTGGGGTTATTAATTATACCCTACAGACAGTACTTTGCTTGATATTTTTGATTGTCACCATATTCTATTCGCACCACATTGTCCCTCCCAGTCAGAAGTCTTGAATGGTGCAGACAATTTGTGAAGATGCCTCGTTCACTTTTTCCTTGTCGATGTATCTTCAAGCCAGAACTAATACTGAATCGTTGATTTTGTTTGTATTATATCATATAATAAAGTCCCAAACAGTACTTAAATCCGGTTGGTTGCCTTGTTGCAGTTACGTGGCTCCCCCGCGCAGCTTCATCTGGATAATTGCAAGGACTCTGCTTAATGAGGCGGCACCTACAGCTCGTCAACCTCCAACGCGTGCACCCTGCAAAAACACGCAAGGGGACGAACAATTTCACTGTAAGCCCCCCTGAGGCCCCTCCAAGCTGCACGACCGGTTGTGTGTGTGTGTGTGTGTGTGGGGGGGGGGGGTACTGTGTCTTTAAAGGGGTGTTGGTCGACGGAGAGGTAGCAGATAGGTTTAATTTAGTCGCAAGGAACACGGAGTACGCTTCTTTTTATTTTTGCAAGGGTTGTTGACTTCCGAGAAAAGCAGTTGCCGCGCGTGCAACCTGCAACCATGGGAGGTAAGCCTTATTGACTCTGATTCACAGACTTATTATGCATTGAGATGATCCGTGCCCAGATGCACACATGCAATATTGATTGTGTTTATCTGTCGCGACAGAAGAGGAGACTCGTCAGAAATTGCTGCGCAATGTGAAGAAAGAGGTGCGTTGTGCTTTTGAGTGGCCCTATTTTGGCGTTTTATTATCGCATGAATCGGCGCAGAAGCTTAAAAAAGAATGCACACTGTATATAGCCATGACGGTGATGATGCTGGTGATGACGACGGTGATGATGCACGCGCGCGCGCACTCACACACATACATGCGCGCACCATTTTCCATTTCCCTTTCATTGCGATGGAAATTTATTGTGGCTTTTCGATTTTTGATCCGTTTTGCACTGAAGCGAGAGCAGACGGAACCTCTCAGTGTCGATTCCCCATCGGGAGAAGGAAAAACATGGCTGTTTTTTTTTTTTTTTTTTTTTATTCCCAAGTGAGAAAGAACGGTACTTCCCCCTCACCTGTGACTCATTGCATCTCAAGCATACACATGAGGAGGGGCTGCTTTTTTTTTTTTTGCATTCTATAATATCGTTTATACAGCCCTGGGTTGGGAAAAAAACAACAACAAAAGACTACAGCAATGCAAACTATGAGTTCTGCAACCAAATTTTGTTATTTCAAGATTTTGTCTTTTTCAATTCTAGACACTATAATACTACTGTAATAACAATACCGTCATTTAGAGCATATTTTTGCACAACAACTACAAAATATCTCGTATACAGTATAACATATCTGGGAAAAGTATGGCCCAGATGGATATTTAAGCTCCTCTCACGTCCATCTCAGTCCCCAGATCTCAACCCCATTGAAAACCTGTGAGAAAGAGCATAGTGCAGAGGAAAGGACCCAGGTCACAGTAAAGTATGAGGAGTAACATAAATGAAATGCGAATAATTTCACAGTTTAGGCATCATGACTGGATTTGGTGCCGCAATTCACTGTGCAGAATCATCCAACTTGTTGCATGAAAATACTGTGGCTATAGCCTGAGGAGCTCGTCAAGGTCAGAACAATGTCACATATGCTTTTCTCCACATTGAAGAAAATGGTAACGCTGTCTACTACAAATCCAATGTGCTTGTTTTGATGGCTTGTTTCGATGGAGTAGCAGTGGCTGTTGTCAGGCACGGTTCGAGGATTTTTTTTTTTCTGCCCCTCTCCCGGTGCTTGACCAATACATTAGGGGGCCTGAGAAAATCATTTATAAACATATCAAATCAAATTGTTGGAGGGGCTTAACTGGGGCGAAACAGATTTATGATAGGCCGTGAATCAACACTGATTCTTCTTGTTCCATAGGTGAAACAGATCATGGAGGAGGCGGTGACGAGGAAATTTGTGCACGCCGACAGCAGCCACATCGTTTCATTCTGCGGTAGAAAAAAAGACATGCATATTTTCCTGAAATTACTTTGATATTATTCTGACAAATGATTTTCCTTTTCGGGTGGCGGCGGGTGGTTGGGGCTCAACTTGCTTGAACACTCACAATTTTTTTTTTTTTTTCGCAAGTGCATGTATCGGAAAATGTATTCCAAGGTCCCCAATCATTAAGAAGGAAATATCTATCATTTAATCAAGTCAGAGCAGTTACTGTATATCCAGTCACTATTACAGAATATGAACAAGCTCCCAAAGCCCTCGGGTTGAACGTGCGATTAATTATGCTTTGAGAATGAATTAAAATAGCTCCGCTTGTTTAACTACACATGCATGAAATGGCTTACTAGGTCTTTTGCATGAGCACCGGTGGCAGCTATTTTCCCGAAAGTAACCGTGGTGCGTTTGCCAAAGGTGGCCAGATAAGAATTTGAGTCAGATAACACCCCTGGGAGGTGCTGATGCTAACCAGGAGCGAGGTGTGTGTGTGTGTGTGTGTGTGTGCGTGTGAGACTCACGTCCCTCATATCCTAGCAACAGTGTTTGGGTCCATTGTGCCACCTGTGCTTACCTTTCACCTGTTTTTTTCTCTTTTTTTTTGGGGGGGGCATACAGTTATGAAATCCCATTGCATGTACGTCGCTGCACAAATTGGGTTCAAGTTTCCCCATCGACATGTCATTAGTCTGTTTCAGCCTTGTTTTAATTCTGAAAAAAATGCTACTGTGTAAAATTGGGTATCAAGAAATAAATACGTTTTTATAGTCGAAGTGTAATTACAGTCGTGGGTGTCAATCTCGGGGGTGGGGAATAGTAAGAGTTTCTGTGGACCCCCACCCAGCTCCCACCCCACCAGTCGACGCGAATAAAATTTTCACTCGTTAAAATACAACAGGGGGTGTCCATCACGAATTATGGCGGCCCAGATTTCGGTGCGATGGCCCAAATTACTGTTACAACAAAAGCACACCGATGTGTGCCTTTAAGGGGCGAGGCCTAATGATATCGGGCCGTCATCCTTATCAGGATTCATTTTATATTTTCTCCTTACCCGAAATTAGAGGGCATTACAATAATTGCTTCTCATTTTTTTAAGTGACAGCTCAGAATTTAAAACTTAAATTGGGAGCAATCCTGTGTCAAGGAACCACTGCATTGAAAAAAAATGGGTTCCGATGTGTGTGTGTGTGTGTGTGTAGCTACCGTGGAGGCCTGTGTGCTGCACGGGCTGAAGCGGCGTATCGCGGGACTGCTGTGCAGCAACAAGGTGGCGGCGCTCTTCATGAAAGTGGCCAAAAGCTTCACGCCTGCAGAGCAACTGTGCCACAAGGTCCAAGAGCTGGAACAACTTATCGAAAACAGGTGCTGAGGGGGCACACCACACTTGAGGGGCATTCAGTCGAGAGGTTCCACTTTCGCAGCACACCCTGTCATTTTTTTTTCCTTCAATGATTAAATGAATTTGATTTAGAGCTGGTATCTAAACATGTCTTCCAGCAAACAGAACAATTCCTCACAGGGCAACGACTGCGGCCGACAAACCAAATTGAACAACCTTCCACCTCAAGCCCTCAAACATTTGTGGATCCGAACGGCTTTGCTGGAGAAGCTACTGGATAAAATCATCCTGTATTTGGTGGAGAACTCCAGGTATCAGTTTGCGTACATTCTAATAAATCCTGTTGGTCACACTCATCTGCGAGACATTTAAATGATCCATTTGTTGTATTTCCTCCTGTAGCACGTTTTATGAGAAAGAAGCCATGCTGATGGATCCTGTGGATGGACAAATTCTTGCATCACTATTGGGTAAATTTAATTGCCGTTATAGCCTGGCGTGGTCATCATGCGAGTGTCAAAACATCTAATCACAACACTGCCAACTTTGCCAGATTGAGAAGACACTTTCTTGTTTTTTTTTTTTTTTTTTTTTTTGGGTGGGGGGGGGTATAATGCTTTTGTGACATGTTCCTTGACGGTGCCTTACAGTCGGTCCCTGCGCCTTGGAGTACACCCAAGTCAAGACCGCCGACCATTTCTGGACGGACCCATCAGCTGACGAGCTCGTACAGAGGCACCGCATCCACAGTGGCCACTGTCGACAGGATTCTCCCTCCAGGAGGCCTGCCCTGGTTAGTTCATTATTGAGTGAGAGCCATTTAAGCATCTCATCCTCATTTTTTTTTTTTTTTGGTCACCGTGTAGATTCAAAAGAGGCAGTCCAGTGGCAGCATGGACGACCGCCCTTTGGTGTGGGCAAGAGAGTACGTGGAATCCCTGCACCAAAATTCCAGAGCCACGCTGCTTTTTGGCAAGAACAATGTCCTATGGTCCGGGTGCAGCCGGTATGTCAGGTCCAAGTGCCCATTTTCATGGCAACAAATTAGGCCGGGAAGTGGAAGAGAGGCGGTGGGGAGGGCGGGTTGACTTATTTTTTCACTTTAAAATTAAGGACTGTAAATTCAGCCTTGTAGGCATCATCCCACCTCACAATCTCACGAGGTTCCGGCACGAACGAGATATGTATCAAATACTGCCTTGTGGACTCTTGCAATACCTAATCAACTGACCTGCACGCTGCTACCGTGCTTCTCCAGCGGGACGACATGGAGGCCATTCCTGGCTATCTCTCCCTGCACCAAACGGGAGAGCTGATGACACTCAAATGGACACCCAATCAGCTCATGAATGGCAACATGGGGGAGCTGGATTCTGAGAAGAGGTAGACCCAACAGTGAGTTCCTCTAATAAGGACAAACGTGTTTTCAATATTTCCACCCCTCACTCCCCCACAGTGTTTACTGGGATTACGCCATGACGATTCGCTTGGAGGAGATAGTCTATCTCCACTGTCACCAGCAAGGTAATTCATTTCTGAGGTTGGGAGGAGTGTTCATGGCCGCCAACTTTGAAACCTTGCTTCCCCAGTGAACAGTGGCGGAACCCTGGTGTTGGTCAGCCAGGACGGCATCCAACGGCCCCCTTTGCACTTCCCCAAAGGGGGCCACCTGCTCCAGTTTCTCACCTGCCTGGAGACGGGCCTCCTTCCTCACGGTCAGCTGGAGCCGCCGCTTTGGAACCAGAGAGGAAAGGTGCGCATGACTGACTACTTCTTGGACGTCATGTCACCGGGGGTTGGTGTGGATTGAATGGTTTTGTTTTTCATACGTAGGGAAAGGTTTTCCCCAAATTGCGCAGGAGGAGCCCGCATAGCTCATGCGACTCGGTGTCTGATAAAGAGGATGACGAGGCCACGGATTACGTGTTTCGGATCCTCCTTCCTGGCAATCAAATGGAGTTCAGTAAGTTCGATAGATGGACAATGCTAAATTGCGATGAGGTTTCGGCAATGGAAGATTGTGACTCTCCTTTGGCGGTGGGCGTCTTGTCATTCTGTGCAGTGCCCTTAGAGCTGATAGACCAGGGCATGAACATGTGGCAACCGCCACCCAGGAAGTCCTCTGGGTCTTCCTGCTCTCAGACCGGATCATCTGATAGCTCATTGCCGAGTGGCTGCAATCAGGAAAGGTAGGACCAAGAAGCCATGCTGATGGATCCTGTGGATGGACAAATTCTTGCATCACTATTGGGTAAATTTAATTGCCGTTATAGCCTGGCGTGGTCATCATGCGAGTGTCAAAACATCTAATCACAACACTGCCAACTTTGCCAGATTGAGAAGACACTTTCTTGTTTTTTTTTTTTTTTTTTTTTTTTGGGGGGGGGGGGGGATATTTCTTTTTTCGTTGTGAAAAACATTTTTTTTTTTTTTTTTTTTTTTTTTTTTTTTTGGGTGGGGGGGGGTATAATGCTTTTGTGACATGTTCCTTGACGGTGCCTTACAGTCGGTCCCTGCGCCTTGGAGTACACCCAAGTCAAGACCGCCGACCATTTCTGGACGGACCCATCAGCTGACGAGCTCGTACAGAGGCACCGCATCCACAGTGGCCACTGTCGACAGGATTCTCCCTCCAGGAGGCCTGCCCTGGTTAGTTCATTATTGAGTGAGAGCCATTTAAGCATCTCATCCTCATTTTTTTTTTTTTTTTGGTCACCGTGTAGATTCAAAAGAGGCAGTCCAGTGGCAGCATGGACGACCGCCCTTTGGTGTGGGCAAGAGAGTACGTGGAATCCCTGCACCAAAATTCCAGAGCCACGCTGCTTTTTGGCAAGAACAATGTCCTGGTGCAGCCGGTATGTCAGGTCCAAGTGCCCATTTTCATGGCAACAAATTAGGCCGGGAAGTGGAAGAGAGGCGGTGGGGAGGGCGGGTTGACTTATTTTTTCACTTTAAAATTAAGGACTGTAAATTCAGCCTTGTAGGCATCATCCCACCTCACAATCTCACGAGGTTCCGGCACGAACGAGATATGTATCAAATACTGCCTTGTGGACTCTTGCAATACCTAATCAACTGACCTGCACGCTGCTACCGTGCTTCTCCAGCGGGACGACATGGAGGCCATTCCTGGCTATCTCTCCCTGCACCAAACGGGAGAGCTGATGACACTCAAATGGACACCCAATCAGCTCATGAATGGCAACATGGGGGAGCTGGATTCTGAGAAGAGGTAGACCCAACAGTGAGTTCCTCTAATAAGGACAAACGTGTTTTCAATATTTCCACCCCTCACTCCCCCACAGTGTTTACTGGGATTACGCCATGACGATTCGCTTGGAGGAGATAGTCTATCTCCACTGTCACCAGCAAGGTAATTCATTTCTGAGGTTGGGAGGAGTGTTCATGGCCGCCAACTTTGAAACCTTGCTTCCCCAGTGAACAGTGGCGGAACCCTGGTGTTGGTCAGCCAGGACGGCATCCAACGGCCCCCTTTGCACTTCCCCAAAGGGGGCCACCTGCTCCAGTTTCTCACCTGCCTGGAGACGGGCCTCCTTCCTCACGGTCAGCTGGAGCCGCCGCTTTGGAACCAGAGAGGAAAGGTGCGCATGACTGACTACTTCTTGGACGTCATGTCACCGGGGGTTGGTGTGGATTGAATGGTTTTGTTTTTCATACGTAGGGAAAGGTTTTCCCCAAATTGCGCAGGAGGAGCCCGCATAGCTCATGCGACTCGGTGTCTGATAAAGAGGATGACGAGGCCACGGATTACGTGTTTCGGATCCTCCTTCCTGGCAATCAAATGGAGTTCAGTAAGTTCGATAGATGGACAATGCTAAATTGCGATGAGGTTTCGGCAATGGAAGATTGTGACTCTCCTTTGGCGGTGGGCGTCTTGTCATTCTGTGCAGTGCCCTTAGAGCTGATAGACCAGGGCATGAACATGTGGCAACCGCCACCCAGGAAGTCCTCTGGGTCTTCCTGCTCTCAGACCGGATCATCTGATAGCTCATTGCCGAGTGGCTGCAATCAGGAAAGGTAGGACCAATGCCTTCTTTCCATATCAAGATCTTGTCGTGGATCTCATTCAATTTACGGTACCAAGGGCTCCTCTGAAGCTCCTCTGTGACACCATGAAGTACCAGATCATCTCCCGTGCATTCTATGGATGTGAGTGCAAATTCCACTCCAATCTTTCATTGAATACAACAGTTCTCATAAGAACATTTTTCCCCCCCGCCTCCACTTCAGGGCTGGCGTACTGCCGTCACCTGTCCACCGTTCGCACCCACCTCTCTGCTCTGGTCAACACCACCATAGTCTTCTCTGACGTGCCCTCGGATGCGCGGGAAGGTCTCTCTGCCGACGTCTGGGCCACGTTTCTCAATGACAGCTCTGTAAGAATTGCACAGAAAGGGGTTACGCATGGGCAGTTTTTAACATTGATCAACACACACCATATCACAAGCTAATCGCTTATGGAACATTTTTCAAATGTTTGGGCCTATTCTGACTTTGTCAGCAAGGGAGGGAAACTGTTGGAATTTGGCCCAATTGACGCTGTGCGTGTATGCCGCTTAAGTGACTGCACACCATTTTCAGTCGTCACAATAAATTAAAAAAAAAAAACAATTTCAGGCCTATGAGGAGCTTGAGATACACAGGCTGGTCTATTTTGGAGGCGTGGCACCTTCACTGCGCAAGGAAGTCTGGCCCTTCCTTTTGGGACACTACCGGTTCACAATGACGAAGAAATCCAGGCTTGAGGTATTTTTTTTCTTATTTTTACTTCAAAATGAGAATTTTGTGTTGATTTTTTTTCTCCTTTGTCTCTGGTTCAGATTGATGAGCAGATGCGTCTCATGTACGAGCAGATCATGAAGGAATGGCGAGGCTGCGAGGCCATCGTGCAGCAGAAGGAGCGCGAGAAACACGCGGAAGCCCTCGCCAGGTGTTTGTCCGGCAACAGCGTCGAGCAAGCGCCGGTGGTGGAGCAGGACTCAACCATTAGCACAGATGTAAGTTGACTTTTTTTAGCGCCATGTGTCAAAAGGGAACTACAGTGGCCTTTGTACTTTTCTGACATGTAGTTCTGCTTTTTTTCCCCCCCCCTTATCATTGCAGTCATCTCTATGCAGCAGCTCAGATCCGCACAACACGCGCTCACAAAGTGACTCCAGTTGTAGTGCACCGGTAAGATTCAAATGCAGCATCTTTAAAAGGTTGCGTGAGTTTCAGGAAGCAACATTTAAAGACTTATTTGCTTATCTGTGCATCCGGCGTTACCGCAGCCATTTTCAGAAATTGGCAGAACAAAATGTTTTCATTTCACACTTGATTGGGTGGGGGCTGGCACTCCAGGGGCTGAGACTTATTTTTTATCGACAAGCTATTAAGTCAGCTTGGCGACATTTTATATTGAGAGCTGTTGGTCAGAACATTCGGAGCAATTTTCACATACTGTATTAGCAATGCAGTTCTACGCCGCATCTGCTTTTCTCTGGTCACTCACTCACCTTCCTTCCATCTGTTAGGTATTTGCATCAGTCGATACTGTGGATCCCCCAGAGATGAGGCCTGAAGGAGTGCAAACAGAGCCCGAGAGTACAACAAAGGGCATCTCAGCTGCTCCCTCTGTGTCGAGCAACCCATTCTGTGAGAATGTATCGAAAGCATCACCGGCTTGCGACAGCTACCTTCTTTTAACGGGGCCCGCTTTTATATCTGCAACCTCTCAGCAGTCTGCGAAGGCATCGGGCATCTTGAGTGAGGGATCGACAGCCGAATCACTGCCAGGGATGGTCAAGGTGCTTGAGTCAGTGCCAAAGGAGAGCCTATTGGCGAGTGACAAGATGGAGAGGAACGAAGCCGAGGAGAAACCTGAAAACACAAATACTGCAAATGCATTCATTGAACGAAGAGCTCCACCGGACAATACCGATGTTATCAAGCTGGAAAAAGAGATTCAGAATGAGTATTTCCAAGCCCCACCACTCGGACAGACCCTTCAAGCACAAAATAGACTCGATCAAGAAAATGAATCGTCTGAAAAAAACAATATCGCAAACATCGAGAGAGATCCAGGGAGTTCTGAAAAAGAAGAAGCATTTGACAGCCTGCACTCGCAATTGTTGACTGCCTGTCTCTTGGAGGTAGACAATGCTGAGTCGGCGGATTCTGTGTCGTCTGAAGCCAGAACTGTGCCGGGCTTCTCAAACTCACCGGTCAGGCAAGTACTCGATGCTCTCCAGTCGGCATCCCGCGGGAGCCTTTCCCTATCGTCCCATACTTGGCAGTCCCCGGATTCCGATGACTCTCCTTCCGCTCTGGAGATGGAGGACATTCCTGCCGGGGTGGCTTGCTTAAACCTCGAAGAACTGAACACCAGGCCCTTGACGATACTTGCGGCCCCGCCCGCGTGTCGAGCTCAGAGAGCCAAGCTGGCATGCGAGGATCTTGTGGACACCGCTTGTAACACCAGTCCTGAGGACACCGACCAGGGGCTGTCTGAAGATGAACCTGATGTGGAAAACAGCTTTGCCGAACCAGAGTCTGCTGAGGCGGTCGCAGAGTCCATACGGCAAGACTCCTCGGCTCAACAAATCTACACTGTAAGTGTGAACTGTTAGCATACAGAATAGCCCCAAACCACAGAATTTGAAGTTCAGTTAAAAAAAAAAGAAAAAGAAAAACAGGGGGAGGAAAAACTGGCCATTATAGATTGTGGTTCCGCTGCACTTTTAACGAATAACCAAAACTTGCTGACCTCTTTTTACTCTACTGGCAGCAAGAGACCATGGACATGTACCTAATCAACTTGCATCGCATTGACAAAGACGTCAGACGATGCGACCGCACATACTGGTACTTCACTCCCGAAAACCTGGACAGGCTGAGGAATATCATGTGCAGGTAACAAAAGACCACAGTACAATCTCGATGGGGCATACTGCACTCTGAAGGTGAATTTGAATTCTATGCCAATTTTCATCACCCCGTTGGGGCCGTTTGCAATGTTTCATAGCTATGTGTGGCAACACTTGGACACGGGTTACGTCCAGGGCATGTGTGACATACTGGCCCCGCTGCTGGTTATCCTGGACGACGGTGAGTGTTTCGTCGTTGTTGGGCTGTGAGACTTTAGTCGAAGGTCATCCAACTCTTTACCGCCATAACGCAACAATTTGCCACAGTAGTTTGGAGGGTTGATGGAAGCTATCGGTTTCATTCATGTCATTAAATGTGGCATTTTCTAACAACTGTTTTATTTGATTGCGCTAATCGTAGAGGTGATGGCGTTCAGCTGCTTCACCGAACTGATGAAAAGGATGAACCAGAACTTTCCTCACGGGGGCGCCATGGATTCTCACTTTGCCAACATGCGCTCGCTCATTCAGGTATGCGCAAGTCAAAAGATGCAAGATTTGAGCTCATTTGTTTTTTTCTGCACACTAGATCCTGGACTCTGAGCTATTTGAGTTGATGCAGCAGAATGGCGACTACACCCACTTCTACTTCTGTTACCGATGGTTCCTACTGGACTTTAAAAGAGGTGAGGCGTCAACCTGAACGTGGGGCGGGATCCTTTTCGAGCTAAGACGACTTTTTTTTTTCTATCGAGAAATGGTGTACGATGACGTTTTCTCTGTGTGGGAGACCATCTGGGCGGCGGCATACACCACTTCGGAGCATTTTGTGCTTTTCATCGCACTGGCTCTGGTGGAAATGTACAGGGACATCATTCTGGAGAACAACATGGATTTTACTGACATCATCAAGTTTTTCAATGGTACGGTAAAGTATATACCGTGGCCCCATGACCAGTTCACGATTTACCGGTCGATCGCGATCGACATAATCTGCACCCTTGAATTAGCAGTACAATCTTTTTTTTTCTTCTTACATTGGACCTCCCTTTGTCTTCTCAGAAATGGCCGAGCGACATGAGATCCCGCGGGTCCTCACGATGGCTCGAGACTTGGTCCACAAAGTGCAGACACTCATAGAAAACAAGTGATTCTGGACTCTGCTCTTCATCTGCCATTTCCGATCGCGATCGACATAATCTGCACCCTTGAATTAGCAGTACAATCTTTTTTTTTCTTCTTACATTGGACCTCCCTTTGTCTTCTCAGAAATGGCCGAGCGACATGAGATCCCGCGGGTCCTCACGATGGCTCGAGACTTGGTCCACAAAGTGCAGACACTCATAGAAAACAAGTGATTCTGGACTCTGCTCTTCATCTGCCATTTCTGTTTAAATATCAAGTTTAAAAAAATAGTGTTAAATGCAGTAAGGGTCTTAAGTGGTTAAACCTGATTGTCAGCTGAAGACTTTCAGTTGCTCCCATCTCGACTGAGAGTGAGCCAGCAGATTGATTCTTGAGTGTTCATGTTCACCTTGTGAATGTACCCATGTCGAAACAGCTTCAGGATGTTAATTTTGCCTTAAATGTTTCCCTCTTTCAGGGATACAAAGTGTAATTTGAAGTCATACCTTCCTAACGGCATCTGACGCTGAGCTGGTTTTGATCAGGATACCTGTTAAAAAAAAAAAAAAAAAAACAAGAAA